ACTAAACACAATCTTGTTTTCACTGTCATTGATCGCTCGTTTAAGTCCCTATCACCAGAGGCGGATTAAGATCTCCCTCGCCTACAGGCGCGCAAAGAATTGCCGCCTATTTTTTTCTTATAACCCAGGAAAAAAGATTTATATAAAAACAAGTATAATATATGTTCAAAAGTTGGACGCACATATATGAACAAAATAAAACATCTTCAAACAGATTTTCAAAATTATGTTTATTTAAATATGCATAATTTCTAAAATTTATAATATGAATTATTTATTGGTATTATAAATGCATAATTAAAGTATATAAACATATAGAGTAAAGTATATAAACATATAATTAAAAAAACTGTTAAATGAATTTCCGAGTATTTAATATTTTTTTTCAAAAACTCATAGAATACAAATGAAGAACAAGGGAACACGCAAGCAGCGACGAAGAGGTTTTTTAGACATAATTTGAATCCACAATTTTTGCCACCCCTAAAATATTACCGCCGAAGGCACATGTCTCCTTTGTGTACGCGTATATCCGCTCCTGGATAGCACGTTCTGCCTTCATTGGTTCTTCAGGTGAGTTTCAATCCTAAAAAAGAGGCGAAATCGTAGAATCTCACTAGAGAATTGACAAAGAAAATGAAAACGTCAAAACATGAAGTTTATACTGCAATACATGAGATTCCTGTAATGAAAAGTCAAACAAGAACATACTAGTATTTGTTTCCATTGTAGAGATCTCTATTGAGTTACGATATAAAACTAGTGCTTTGCGTGACAGTTTTCACCACCGGGTTGGAAAAATAACCTGGGGAACAATCGTTACGAAAATACGAAGCAATGAGAAGGCGATTTAAGATTTGCTTGATAAAGATAAACAGATAGTACGGGGATGGCAATGCCGGCAGGCTGGGTATGTCGATATTCATGTATTGATTTTTTTCTGTCCATACAATGACATTCTTTACGAGAAAGGTGCCTGCAGTTAAACTGCATTCAATTTATTTTCATAAAATCAAAACAAAAATGTCACGAGATGAAAGGCTTTTATTCTTAAAAATGTCTTCAAATTTTACTTTCTAATAAGTAACAATATAGCTATTTAATGAAGTTCTAAAATTTGACGCGAGACATGGAAAACGGCAATATCATTCGTATTAGAAACAAGTATTTTTACACAGATAAATTTTAATCTCAAAATACGTAAGTCTATTTTCGCTAACCCATGAGCACAGAATAAAATTAACCGTTTTTCATAATTCAATTGCAATAATTCATTTTAACATTATGTTAACTTACAGAAATTATATATTTAGATCGTTATCGTCCTCTCCTCAAATTCAAAAGTTAGATTTAGAAGTCATTTCAATACTTTGTTTTTCGTTGTCTACTTTGGTATGAGGAATCATTTCAGATGTTTTTGAAATCGATTTTTAATTTTATTACATCACGTGTCATTACATCATACTTAGATTAGATTTACTTTCACTACCGTGAAAAAATAGATCACGGTAGAACACGTCGCATTATTGATTTTTCTCTCGCGGACGCACAACCTATTGCGATAGAAGCAGCATCTCCACAAAATAGAAATAAATGTATACTTTTTCGTTGACACAACACAAATACAAGGACAGAGGAAGTTTGAAGTGCAATGCCTTCGGCGTCTTCCTACAAGCGCAATACATAAGGAAGGGATTTTTCTTAATTACATCTGTTCTAGAAAGTTAGATTTTTAAATTATGGTATCTTCAATTTTTCAAAACAATGAATAGTTTTAGCATAATTTAGTTTGAAATATAGTAATTTAAAAAATGATTCCTCAAAAATGCTCCAATTTTTTACTATCTCGTATTCGTACCTATATACGGAGTAATATTCGTAGTATAGGGAAAGTTATGTAAGTCTGCGGAAAATCAATTTCGAATTTCAACGGAAATACAAGTTCTGGAGTCCCCTGATACCGAAAAAGTGTTGTTGTTTTTTTTTTTTTCAAAACGTCTGTCCGTCCGTCTGGTGTATTGAACAATACTAGCGCCTAAAGCATGTGCAGGATTTTTTCCAAATTGAAGAAACCCCTGTCCATCTGGCTAGAGTCGAAACTTTTAAGATTTGGGGAAATTTGGGGGTACTTTACATGAAACCCGGACATTTTCAATATTTTCTCATAAACGGCTCCATATTTTTTCTTAAATATCTTGTAATAATATAGTAGTTAACTGGGAATTTTCAACAATTGCAAAAGTTTGAATATTTTTCGGTGTCTCCCTGCAACTATTATTAAAATTAAAAATTAAAGATAGATATTTTTCCTAAAAATAAAACTTGTTCTCTGTAGTAAGTTGTTTCTGTAGAGTGTTGTACATTTTCTTAAAAACTTTTCAAATTTGTCAAAGAAAATTGCCATTTAGGTTTTACTGTTCTTTAATATTCTTAAAATGATATTTCCATTCTACGATTAGGAAATCGAAAAATTAAGAAAGTTTCAAAACAGTGTTCTTTGGGCGGCGATATATGGTAGCTGGCAAGACTATGTGGTAAGTTCGAATTGTTGTCCAAAGGAATTAGAAAATTAATTCGGGAAAGTCTATGGCATTCTGTAGCACCACTAATTTCTTTTTCAGGAAAAGAGTAAAATTTAGTTATCCGTAAAAATAGCACAGGCCTATTTTCGGTGATTTCTCGGCATTTGCAAATATATTACATTGCAAAACTAGAATTTTTACGATAGATATTTTTTATTTAATGAAATATGATTTACAAGTTAGATCTTTAAGTAATGTTATGAATAATTTTTTGAAAATATGAACAATTTCTGGAAATTTTTGCGAATTTTCGGAATTGCATATTTTATTTCCCGCTCTTATTTTGCTACAAATTTTCAGGAGTATCAGATTGTAATACGATCATTTCAACGCCGCAACACGGCAGTTTGAAATTCTTGGAATATCTTCTCTTTATTGGCTGGTGTTTCGGAATATATGGAACGTGGCTTTGCATTGTCGAATTTTTGTTGATGTTTCAATGAATTAATTTTTCTCGCCTAATGCATTACGATTGGTAATGCGTTTTAGGAGTGGTGGCTGAGATTTGTTGATGTGGATAGAAATTGGCTTTATAGTTTTCCGGAGGTGGCCGCGCGACACTTGGCCATGGCCTACGACGAGTCGCCGAATCTTGGCTGAGATCCAGGGAGGTTACACCGGCCATGATTAACTGTTGCATGGGACATACGTACTATCCAGGTGCTATTCACGCATCCTTAGGCGAAGTCAGATCGTTGCCTTTCGAACTAAAATACTGTGTGTTTGTAAACGAGTATTTGTTTTAATATTATGGCATCATCTCTATACTGCTATTGAAGTTGAAGATTGCAGTTCCTGGAAGTTGATATCTTCTTCCTGCATTGCAGGCTAGTTACGGTAACTAATTTTATAGTTCGAATCTGACCACTTTGAAAATGATGAACTACCAGCCATGATAGGTCATGTGATGATGAGTCATCATGCGCCATATGGCACAATGCTTTTTCAGATGTTTACCAGATATGGTTTGAAACCCAAGAGAAAAACTACCACAGGGATATTCGAGAAAAATATATAAAGAGAGCAATTAATGTGGTTGCAGAAGGTAGAAGCATAAGACGTGCAGCTGATAAATATGGTGTCGAGAGGGAACCATTAAGACGGAATGAAACATTATGAAATCACTTTTGTATGAAGAAGTTGAACTCAAACTACAGCCATGTACGAGTTCTTACTTATGTCCCAAAGGAAGTGATTGCAGGCTGCAAAATGTTTTTCGGTTTTTAATATAAAAAATGCCGAAAACTTGCTTGCGAAACTGCTATTGCAAATCATGTGAAATGATGAGATTCATAGTGAGAAAAATAAATTACTGGGGAGGACTGGTTAGCAGAATTTTCAAAAGAAGTAAAGATGTGTCCTTCAGGTCTCCAGAGGGGTGTAGTTTTGCTCGTGACGTAACATTGCATCGACAAAACGAGCGTCTTCAATTTAGATGAAAGAAAAACATCAACAGTTCAAAACAACGGAAAGTAATTGCCGAGAAACGTTGCAAATCTGTAGGTCAAGTGAAAAGTGCTGCGAAGGGAACTCTTGTAATATGCTTATTCTCCGTTCTGAGGGCAATTATTTACTCCCTATCTTAATTTGTCGCACAGAGCATTTCCTTGAGCACATGCTGTTTGTGTTCGTCAAATTCCTTATTTTAAAACATGATAGTATCTCTTCAATTATGGAAAAGGAGTAGTTATTCTGGAATAGTCATGACCCATGGTACACCAGTCACATGGTGTCCCAGGCATGGGGCTTGATGGGTCATTCATTGAAAACAGTTTTGCTTACATTTTTTCTTCACCATTAATTATTTCGTGACTATAACCACACACTGTTAAAATATACATGTCATTTGCTGTACAAATAAAATGAAATAAATCACCTTCAATGTAAGGGATTCCTACATGGTCTTTCTTTTTTTTAATCTTTTAATGTGCGGCATATATAATCACAAATTATCTCATGTATCGTTTTTCTAAATCTTCAAATTTTCTAAATAAGCTCAAAATTGCGCATTTCCAAAAACGCCAAACAGTGAACAAACAGACGTTCAAAGCTCAAACGATATTTTCACAAAATCGCTACAAATTTGCCCCGAAAGTTTCCGTACGAAAATACTTTTCTTCTCTATGAGATTATCAAGGTATTATGTCACACTATTAGGGAACTGGATATTTGAGAAAATGTTTCAGTGAGACAGAAATTACAATAGTACAATATTACTTAATGCTACTCAAATATATTACATTACATAACCAATATTCAACGAAATCTTTGCTATAAAAAAGGTACTAAAAATTCTGTTGTAAAACTACTAGTTCTTAATATCTTCAAGACGTCTATATTGAGAGACTAATATTTTAGATATAAAAGTGGAATGGCTCTAGATGTGTAACCAAATATAGAACCAATAATTGATTACAGACAGTTCAGTGGGGATGAGAGGGCCAAAGAGTTTCTCAAAGCTGTGGCAAGAATGTCGCTATACAACCTAGATGATTTTTCATCCTTCTTTGAGAAAGGGAGAAATGTTCCTGAAGTTCCTCTGGCAGACACAGCGACGCAGGTAAGGAGAAAGTAGTTGCGTACTTACCTTAAAACTAAAGATTTTATTCGTAATTCCTTTTGGTAAAAATATTTTTTAGGAAAAATAATGTAGGGATGTGCCTCATTATGCTCATAGTGCTAAAATGCTACGCCCAATTTATTCTTTGCATATGAACACCACGCTGCAGTTTCAACGTCTTTACTTTTCTTTTGAAAATCATTTAAAACTCTCATTTGTGATACAGTGTGAGCTCTACACCCAAGATTATATACACAGCCTTCCTTTCTATAAAAGAGAAAGAATCCAGAAATACTCAATAAATTTCACGAGTATGATGCCCGGGTTAATACTGCTGTTTTCTTTTGATAATAAACTTAATACTTTTTAACATTATAACTATGATGGGGAAAGTGTGAGGATGAGAAAATGGCATCCGTGTCTAAAAACACGACCACCTGAGTACATATAGCATAGACAAGTTTAGTTTTTCCTATTAATACACTGCCGGCAAAATTCAAGAATATACTTGTCATCCCTAAATGACATTGCCTCAAATAGGCAATAGGACCCAATAACTCAGAATAAATAAGCATATTTTAGCCCACTGATCATACGATTGCTCAATAAACTATTTGTGTTTTCACAGTTACGTATGGAGTGCGGAAAAATAGTGAAGGAATGCCTCTTCAAAGGACCAGAACTGCCTTGCTGCGAAAATTTTAAACCTTTGATGACTGAAGTGGGCCCTTGCCTCGCCTTTAACGCCAAGCACGCGTGGCCGTGAGTTGACTTGTGCATCACTGTTGTCATCATTATCAGGAGGGTTGGGCAATATTTAAATACTTTTTGCCTAGTAGCATTATAAGGGACTTTCTGTTCCAAGAAATCGTTCATAAAAGGGCATATTACGGGACAAATAATTAATTAGAATTTACGGCACGAATGATTACGTCATCACCCATTTAGCTAATCGCAACGAGAGAAACGTGGGGTGGTGGCAGTGAACGGAACAGCCGACCACCGTTTTCTCGCGTCGAGACGTCATAAGAAATTAAGTTTGTTTCTCTTATAAATTTATAATGTTGTTATACAAAAACTAACGCATGCAACTGGTCTTAAATGCTGCTTTCTTGCATTCGTACAAATTTGAAAACTCGCACCTAACGCTGCTCATTTTCAAAACGTGTTCTCATGCCAAACAACTTAACATTATAAACTACTATTATTTGAAATATTTATTTTAAAACATTTTGGATTTGAAAAACTGTATTTTTGAGTTTTTTGAACATGTATTTTAGAGATAAATTTAAATACATAAAATAGATGTATTTGAAATATAAAATACTTAGAACACTTTAAATACGGATGAAGAGGAAGATAACGAAAATAGATTCCATTTGTTTTGATTCCGCTAGTGAATGCACCTCATTGAAACAAATATAAAAGCTGTTTTCAGCTGTTGAATTTTAATTCTCTTCATTTTTAAATGATAAATATAAATCGTTAAAAATGCGGATGGACAAGTGGCCGACAATAAAAGAGCCTTTTAGACATTCGCCAAATAGAGGTATACAGCCTGATGATTTGTTTGAAAAATTAATCGTTTTAAAAGGATATTCCGTTTATTTGTGTTAAACATATTTTTATATCATTTTACATTTATATATTGTTACAATACATTACAACAATCTGAGCAATATGTTATTGTATAGAAATTTGAATGAATGTCAATTACTAATTGAATGTAATTAACAATTTCAATATATTGTTACAATACAAAATTAGTATATTTACGGTATTTCGAGTATTTGAAGTATTTTAAATACGAATGTATTCATTAAATTAAAACCTAATATATTTTGTGGATATATTGAAATACGTATATATACAAAGTATTTTGTCGAAGTATCTGAATACTATATATATATATATATATATATATATATATATATATATATATATATATATATATATATATATTGAGACAATGCAAAATACCTAAAGGGAATTTTGGCGTTTATAAACGAAACTCTAATGTCAAATAACTTGAGAAATACGAGAAATAATAAAATTCGAGAAATTGAAATACGAAGACTCAAATGAAACTGCGACATTGAGAATATGAGGCGTCCGAAAATCCAAATATTAATTAGATTAAGTACATTTTGGGAAATTAAAGATCTTTTTTAAAAATAAAGCAGATAAATTTTACATTATTGGCAGAGGACAAAAACGCTTGCAGTGTATAGTTGCAGTGCGACAGGCGCGCGTCGGTGAAGAAGAGATAACAATGCAACAAGTGAACCGGTCAGGCGGGATAGAAAGTGGAAACGAACAATTTTAGTTGCATATAAGCAGGCATACTCAATTTTATTAAATAGGTTATATAACTCATTACTTATTATCTATTATTTAATAGCAAACATTCTATAACTTTGGGTAGGTAATGCATTTTTTTTCAAAAGCATCCATTTTTCATCAATTAATATAAAGTGGTGAATAACGTCATCCATCTTGTTGGGCATATACACCACTGACTGTGAATGAAAACCTACATTAAGCTTTGGCCCTAAAACAATGTGCGTTTTGATAATATAAGAATGTCAGAGACGGTTTATTATATTTTGCAAACAATTATAACTGTTAGTGATGCTTTCAACCAGACGGCACTAGAGAACTCACGAAGTTACAGAGTTATTCAAGATTTTCCCATATGTTTTTAGAGAAACTTCGTAGAGTTCGAATTGCTGCATTAACATATAGTGTCTATGACCTGCAATGTTTAATAGTCGTAATGCGATTGGAGTGTTTTAAAATTCATTGATAATTAAGACAGTTACCATGTTTCGTGCTCAGGAAAGAAGATTTCCTACTGGAAGAGATCTTAGAAACCGACGAAACTCTGTCACTCTCTTTACTTTTCTTCGGACTCACCAAAAATTACAGCGCCGAAGAACAATACATAAAGGTTAGTGTCTTGCAATTACTTTCTTTGGTAACCTCTTATTGAGCGTTTTTGTTTATTTTTTTCGATCATCCCACCACGAAACACATACACGTCTCCGGATAATATGTCAAAGGTATAGGGCAAGTAGGGTGATCGAAAATGATCAATAAAGATAGGATTCTCGTGTTATGGTATCTTTTGTTTGGTAACTTGAAATCGGATGAAACCTTGACAGAAATTTGAATCATGAAATTTGAATTATTTTAATACTTGTTTTATTTTGCACGAAATTGCACTTTTGGGGATTACTGCACTAAATTGCACGTTTTAGATAAGGCTTCCTAAATATTGTACATTTTAGGGTTTTACTGAAGATATTTGCTAGAATTGGAGTGTTACTGCATAACATATACTTTTTATATTATCAAGTTGTTCTAATTTACCTTTTTTGGTTTCATTTAAGAAAACCACTTTGACATAACCAGCAGTGCATTCTGGTGATCTGTGAAATCCAAGTGCCGTTTAAAAGTGTCAATTCTGTACCGTGTCGTTTAATATGTATCGTTAAGTTACCTATGAACGGAGTGTCTATACCTTTCATAAAGCCTATTGTCTAATTGTAAGTTCTTGAGGATGGCAGTTGGTAGTGGGAACACGCAGTGTTGCCACGAACTCGTTCTGCGGCCCTTGTTTGCGAACGCTCGGGGTCTTCCTTCCCAATCGAATCATATCTCTGCTTTGTCAGTCTTCGCTGAAATGAACGGCAGGAGGCTGCATGAGCGAGTCCCATTTGACCTTACATCCGGGCGTGAAGCCTAGCGGCAAGCCACGCGGCGTCTCAAATTCATCGAATTTCTCGGAGCAGCAGGTGTCCTGCGAGATCCGAGAGAAAATGAACTCGGATGATTTTTTGACCGCTTTTGTCAAGCGGTGCGTCAGACACACCGCCGAGAGTAAATGCAGGTTGACGTTTTTGCTGCCTGAAACATGCATTAGGTGACAGAAAATGTAGTAATTTCTCAGAAAATAATTTGGAAATGTACATAATTGTAAATTACAATGGAAAAAATAAGAACAGCTACTATATAACTTAATTATTTTTGGTTTCTGAAGGTATTTTTGTATTTCCTTTTTATATTTTTGTTCATTTAATTTTGTGTGTGAATAATATTTAAAAAGCGAAATATGATTTGTTTAAACAATATATGCAACCTTAATTACAAAACCTTTATAAATCAAATATTTAATTCACCTTAAACTTCACATCCAAAATGTTAAATAAGTTGATAAGTGAATTAACTAGTTTTTAGGCTAAATACACCGATTTGAAAAGTTTTGATGTTTTTATTGCACGTTTTGGTGAATTGCAATATTTAAAGACGGGGATTTGTATGCCATTTTTCTTGTTTTTAGAGCATTTAATGGATCAATTTTGACGATGTGTTAGATCATCAAAATCCGCCACTATTTATATCGTTTGTTGTATAACGGGGTTATTCGGCACTCAACACTTGTACCCACACCCAACACTTGTACGTATGAGGAAAGCAACTAGTCCACTCTTCCAATTTTCATAAGTAGTCACTAGTGCAACTTTCTATTGGCATTTAAACTCAAATTTTCATCATTTAAATTCAAAATTTTGTTATTCCACCCCTTGTTGGAAATCAACATAATGTGTAACAAAACGTATGGTATGCTACTTCAATATGGTTTTATCCAGAACATCAAAATTATAATGTATCGCGTTCCAATTTGTATTAAAAAATGAGAGCAGGCCAGAGTTGTTAAATGGCTTCAAGTAGCGCTACGTGCCAGGTGTACCTGCTGAGCAACGACGAGGTGCCGTCGGTGGACGCCCAGCCGCAGGCGCTGTACGACTACCGCATCTCGCATCTGTTCTTCTCGGAGAAGCACACGTACACGACGCCCGACACGCGCCAGCTGTCCCTGCGGCAGCGGCGCTGCGCCTTCGCCGACGAGATCAGGCTCAAGGTGGACTCCAAGTACACCTTCAACTTCTGCATGATCCAGTGCCGCATGCAGCTGTCGCGCTCGCTGTGTGGCTGCGTCGCGCCCCTCTACCCGCCCACCGGTGAGTGTAGGCAACGCCCCCTGCCCGCCGGGGAGCCTCCGCTTGTCGGAAGAGGACCCTTAGATTAAGTGATTAAAGTTTCCAGAGACGAGGACGGCTAAGGCCATTGCCTCATACGTGTAGTGCTTGTTTGTGTCGGGCGAGCTAGCTGTGATCTCCGTTCGCTGGATGATAAGATCTCACCTTAAGTCTTTTGATTTTATATACATTGCTTAGGTAATGTCTTCACTTGAGAGATAGCGCACGCAGTAAGCTGATTACCTATTCGATTCAGTAGGATTGTAGATGTGTACTGTTCCCTGTCACCACTTATAGATATGAAATTCAAATATTAAAAGAATAAAAAGGTTTCTAACGAACGATTTTGGTTACTTACTTTGCAATAGTAGCTGACAAGACACCGATCAGCACGTTTAAAATCCATATTCAGGGTGATTGAGTCCTCATTGCTCATACAGAACCCGGTGATAGAGCACACTAAGTTATTCATGAGTGCAAAAAGAAATGGTGTAAATCTCATTCAAAATTTAAAAAAAAAATATCATTGGTCATTTTTTGGAAGAAAGGTAGTCCAAAATTACATTAAATATTGTTTCCAGTTGCTATTACTCCCTACTTATCTAATGAACGTGAAAAGAGAATGAAAGAGCTATTATTTAACTGTTATTTAGGATAGTTTATCATATTTGCGTATGTAGCTAAAATTTTGCATTTTCACCTCGTGTAACAGGGACTCTTCAAGTGCTCAAAATGGCGCGAACGCAAGGAACGCCTTTATTTCTGCCGCCACCCTTTCAATGCAGCAAAGATCATCACTATCCTCGACGTCGGTAGCGTAACGCTCGCATGGCGCTCGCTTCCGTTGTATAAGCTTAAACTCTTGGGTCATCTCAACAAGGAACGAAATTCCGTGCATTTGCACAGAAAATGCCTAGAAACTTGAAAACGACGTTATGTGTCCACTGCGCCACTGCTGCACCAGCCGGAAATGGAGAGTTGGTAATCTCTCCGCATGAACTGCTCTCCAGGGGGCCTGCGCTCGCTTCCGGGGCTTCTCTCGTAGCAAAACTGATGACTGAATTTTCCAGAGAAGGGACGAAGCCGCTCGCTCACTTGCCAAAGCTTATGCTACACGAGCACAAGCGCTTGGTCCAAAGTGTAACGTTAATTATGTACACAAGTAAACGACGAAGAGTATCTAATTTTGGCAATTTCAGTCTGTTCATTACAAAAGAGATTAGGTCCCGGCGTATTAGAAACGAGCACTGAATCACCCTGAATTCCACGATACATCGAGACCTTCGTAATGGTGGACGCACAATGTGTTTTGTGGTGCAAACCTGTTTTCCTTCAATTAGAAACTGCATTAACCTTCAAGAAATATAAACAACGACACAGAATTCATTAGTTAACATTACTTCTGTATAATTTTAAAATTAATTATTATGGTCCTGTAACATGATGTAGGGTCAATGTCCCCCATCTCGATTAGGGTTTTTGTCCAATTTGCCTCACCCATTGAGATGGTCCCTTGTTTTTCGATTGCCAAGACGTTCTCTTGTTTTGCTTCTGGATATAAATGTAGCTTCTCAATGCGCACGTTTTGTTGAGCTCTCGTTTTGTTAGATGTGAAAGTAGTTAGCCAGTGGTGTGGATGACTAATTTGTTGGGAATATTAAAAATTAAATCAGTAGTTTTTTACCAATGTAAATACGCTTTCTTTGACACGAGAGGAAAAATGTTGAGTTTAACCTCGTTTTGTTGGTACTGTTAATCATCTTACAAGAAATTCTGCATTTACCCATTGCATCACAGTGTTTACGCTTCTTGCATAAACGGAGTGGAATGGAATTTGCAGAGGGGTTCCGCGTGTGCGGGGCGCAGGAGCTGCAGTGCCTGGCGGCCGTCGCCGGCGAGCTGCGCACCACGCTGGACTGCGCCTGCGATCTGGGCTGCGACCACACCATCTACGAGATCGAGCGCCTGCAGGAAGTGCAGCAGTGCGTGAGGCACCAACTTCTTGCATTCAGCGACCGTAGATTGTAACGGAAACCAAACGAAACTCGAGGCTTAAATTTGCTCACTTGAGAATGTTCAAAGACAGAATAGTCTGCAATAAAAATGGCCAATGCAGAATTCCTACTGTAGAACGAGTAGTCAGTAGAAAGTCATCAGTAGAAAGCCATCAGTAGAAAACGTTCAAGGTACAAAAATGTCCAAATGTATTTCTAGGAATATTACAATTACATGACATACAAGTACTGAGAAATGATGAAATAGTGACCTTGCACTGTAGTACTGCCTCCAAAACTAAACCCGAATGAATTCATTGTATCTCAAATGACAGGAGGTCATTTGAGCAATCTTTACATTATATTTTATAAACAATGTTATCACAATCCAGTTTGTTAACCTTATCTTTTCTATTTGTTTCTAAATTTATTTTATTTATCATTTTATGCACCACATGTATGTTTTAATTTTCTCTGACTCTCAGTACAAAGTATTTAAAAAATATATTTAAAGATAAATATATTACCGAAGAAGAATGAAACATAAGGAGTGGAGGTATAATGAGTTATAGTATGATTACTGAATTAATTGAGTACAGTTTCATGCTGGTAAATTAATTGTAAAATTCATGAAATATAGTATAATTTAAAACTTCAATTACAACCAGTAGGTATATCTTTGCACAAATGCGACTAAAACATTTCATGAAACAAATTATTACTTACATGAAACCTTAAATGAAACAACTTATTACTACAACTATATATAAATTCCACCACCTGCTCCTTGTCAATGTTTTCATTTCGAATCACACGTTTTTGGAATTACAAAAAGGGTGAATTAAAAAGATAACGATAGTACAGTGTTACTCTTGATATATACCGTCTACATATTTGGCCAAATAATCACATAGCACCAAAACGATTTATTCTATTTTATTGGACGGGTGATATTGAAACAATTGCTCGGTGTTCCAGAGTCACTAACCAAGTGGAAGTAACATTCGTCTCGTGGCCGCTGATTCGCTACAAGAGGGAAGTGCTCTTCGGTTGGGTTGATCTGCTAGGTAAGAAACTTTCTTTGATCGTAAAAAGTTCCTTTCAGGTCAGTGGAGCGTTTCTGTGAAAGATTGTAATCAATATATATTTACAGCAAATGTCTCTAACTACAACACACAATGTAGTGATCATATTCATCAGGTGTCATTATCAACAGCTCAGTACAAAAAATCCACATATAATACATGTACTTTACTTTACAACACCTTGCCAGATGACATTAAACGTTGAAATTCGATACAAAAGTTTAAGTCTCAAGTAAAATATTTTCTGCTGCTCAACTGTTTCTATACAATTAGAGACTATGCCGAGCATCCAAAAGAAAAGTAATATTAATTTTAACAATGACATTTAATGTATTATTTATCATTTGGATTGTATAATTCTAAAGAACACCTAACAAGTATTGCACTACAGCTTCTGGGTCAATGACCCCCATCTCGATCAGGTTTTCGGCCAGCTTCCCTGATCCTTGAGCAAATTGCCAAAATGGCCCTTTGTCTTGCTTCTGGACATAAATGAAACTTCAAATTAACTTTTCCCCATAGTACGTCACACACAGATTTTAGCTATTTTAACGTAAATAAATAAGGTCGAATCAGCAGATTCATCAGCATTCAATAGTATATTTTATTTTTAACTTAAATTTATGTACCGACTTCAGTTGCCTTATGTCATCTGACAATGCGTTGTAAAGTAACGTACAAGTATTGTATATGCATTTCTAGTAGTGAGCTGTTGATACTGATACTTGATGAATGTGATTTCTACGACGAGTGTTGTAATTATAAATATCAGCATTGCTTGAAAATATGTCAAACATTATTTATAAACACATATTCGTTAATACTTTTATTTGTTAATAATTAAATGGATGTTTATATATATATATATATATATATATATATATAATAAATATATTATATATGATTTCCATGTACGTCTGTTATGTTTATTAAGATGTTTGCATTTATTTTTGCTTTGTAGCTTCTTACACAGTTTAGAGAAAGTGTTGCAATGCTGCAGGAAAAAAGGGGAATATTGATTATAAGTCTTATTGAGGGATCTTGGTAAAGCAAATGTGGATAAATCTTCTACATGGTAAATAACTTTCTTTATCATGTTGTGCAGACAGAATCGCTCTCGCTCACTTGTCGCTCAAAAACTGGACGCACTTTCAAATAGTTTTAGTCCTAGGATACCGTAAAGGACGCTTAAGAGAATGGTGCAAGTCTCATTTTCGTTAACTCCCTAATTTTTCGGAAATTGCAAAAATTTTGATTTTTTTTCGACGTCTTCTTATAACTAAAAAGTTATGAAGATAACATTTTTCGTAATGAAATGTGTTCATCAAAAACAGACCTTCAAATGCTGTCATGTTCAATATTTTGAAAATATGCGTATTATTGACGTAATTTTGGGTTAAACATGAGCAATTTTTAAATTTGAAACATTCATTTTGTCAGAAATGGCTCCAATTTTTTATTTTTTGCAAGTCGTATATTGCAAAAAACTGTAAGGAAAGTGGTTCTGGTCCCATTTGTGGTGCACGTTTGTTCGAAATTTGGAAAAATCTCGAAGTTGTAAATGGAATTTCTCGCGCTTTGTTTGAGGCGCCTCTAAACGTAAGTTGAGATGTGTTGGGGCAGTGGGATATTCTGAGATTCCCTTCTCATTGTTTAACTTAATATTAATTAACTTAATAAAGTAAATTAAATTAATGTTACAAGTCCTTGAAAATTAGGTGTGAAAACGTATATCTACATTAATATAAAGTATAAATAAAATGTAAATGTATGTTATGTAAGCGTTACAAATGTTGCAAGGAAGTACGTGCTTTCTCCCAATCTTTTGCGCGAAGAGTGTAATATCGAAGAGTGTCGAGATATCGAGAATTAATTTGGAATATTAATTGTTCTGGGCGATTCCTTCAGGGGCTAGAGACCATTCTAATTATTACCCCTCAAGATTTATAAATGATGGTCCGTATTAATGATAATTATTATTAATTAAAATTTTGTATGAACTTTTATTTAATGCATGATATTTTCATATTCTTTTCCGCTCTCTGGGAAAACTAATTATCAAGTTGCAATTTAACAATAAGAAAGTCACGATCCTGTGTGAAATTCTCAGAATAATTTCTCATTGTCGGGCGGTGTTTCTAGATTAGTGTTTCTTGTGACAGAAGGTATCTTTCACTAGGACATCGTGGATATATATATAATTATATATATATATATATATATATATAGAGTATAGATTTAAAAGTTTAATTTCTAGTGTTAGTATATTTTATTTAATTTTTTCGAATTGTTTATGAAACTTATTGAACTTAAACTTTGATTTGTGTATTTTATGTGACTTTATTAGCTTTATAAGAATTAGATTTTGCAATCTTTCTTTCTACGATTTGTAATGGGTTTTACAAGTGATGACGCAGATATGTTAATATGGACAGCAATTGTGGTTATGTCAGATATCTTTTACTATGAGCGAGAAAGTACGTGCTGTTGTGAGCACCACTAGTTCTGTTCACAAATGCATTTCCTTAGGTGACCGAATATTTCGTGTCCTTTGAGGGCGCTCTGTGGAGCCGCTGTGGACGCCGCGAACGCGCGCGCGATCGCCTCCGTTGACGCGTGGAGGCCGCCAGCAACAGATGTGCAGTCTGCATCTTAGATTTTCATGTTTTCACGCTACTGTTGCGTTGAGAAGCATTTGACAAGCCAGGATGGCGAGAAGCGTAGGACTGACATAAGGTAGCATCGTTTACATGACTGCCCTACAAATTACGTTTGAAAGCGCACCAAACATTACACTACTATCTCTTCCAAATGTCGGCGATAAAATACCTACGTACCTGGTTAAAATATTCCGTCAGTTGACTCCTGGTCAGCTGTGGTGCTGGCATCCACGCGAGAGCGTAAACGTGATTATCGTGACGTTGAAGCTCCCAATTGGATCACAATGACAGCTGAAGTGTCAACAGACTTAATGTTTTAATCGAAGTATAAACTATCTGCAACCAGAATAGGTAGAAGGTTCAGGCTCTTTCTCGCGCAAAGGTGCCGTGCTAGGAGCTCGACTCAAGGAAGACGGCTTCACGCACGTAGTCGCACGGAAGTGAGCTATTTGTGAACACATTCATTATTCTAAACACGAAACCATTTTTTCATTTAAGAACATGTTTAAAACTTGTGAAAAGATAGAAAGGAGTAATTTCTTAAGCGAAAAATCGTGGTTTCCCATAATGATTATGGATAGTTTTCAGTCGTAGATGAATCAAGTGATAGAAAGGCGTTTGATATATCGACCTCATCACCTTACATAAACCGTATGTTATGTAAACGGCAATTAGGAAGGAATTTTGAATGTTTTTAGAAATAAACCTCTTACTTTAACTTCTAAATCACACATATGTATAATTATCAAATCATAGTTAGCATGGCAAATAAATGGCCACTCAACTCACAGCAAAATGCATTATAAATTTACATATTACAACTGTTGAAAAATCATTAATTAAAATCGATTATTCTTCCTTTGGAAGATTTCTGTTTTATAGAAAATGTCCTCCAAGTACGAGTTATATTTTCATGCTTCGATTTGCTTGGTCTCTATTGTGCCCTGCTCACAATTCGGTGAAAAAGGTTTCCTGCCCGGAAAATGTAAATGTGCTGAGGATGAAAAACTAGATAGCTTCCTTAGCAAACAGAAATAAAACATTCATTCATCGGTTGATTTAGAGCCTCGTGCACGCATCAACTCATTTATTGCAACATACGAGTGCATTTATTGGAACACCCATTGATTTTAGAGCTCACTCATTAGTTCATTAACCATGTGAACACATCTTTCACAAAGCCCATCATTCATACCTCCATTCAATCATATACTGACTCATTCTAACTTACTTTTATTCGCACACTCCTTCATTCATACAATCATCACATTAGCATTCTGACTTCCACT